CAAGGGCATGTACCTTGGTTGCGGGCACATCCCCGGTAGGGGGTGTGCAAGAGGCAGCTGATCGATGTTTCTCTCTCATCAACGTTTCTAGCTCTCTATCTCTCTCCCTTCCTCTCTATAAAAAATCAATAAAGTATATTTTTTTTTAAAAAGTGGTGTTAGATTTTATCAAATGTTTTTCCTGCATTGATTGATGTGATTATGTGGTTTTTGTCTTTCAATTTGTTTTTTGTGATGTATCAATTTATTGATTTGCGGATATTGTGTCAGCTTTGCATTCCCAGAATAAATTCCACTTAGTCATGATGTATGATCTTTTTAATGTATTGCTGGGTGTAATTTGCTAATATTGTGTTGAGGATTTTAGCATCTAGATTCATCAGGAATATTGGCCTGTAATTCTCTTTCTTTGTAGTGTCTTTATCTGGTTTTGGGATTAGGGTAATGCTGGCTTTATAGAAGGAGCTTGGAAGTGTTCCTTCCTCTTGAACTTTTTAGACTAGTCTAAGAAAGATCAGTATTAATTCTTCTTTGAATGTTTGGTGAAACTCCTGTGTGAAGCTGTCTGGACCAAGGCTTTTGTTTGCTGGAAATTTTTTGATTGCTACTTCAATTTCATCAATAGTTATTAGCCTATTCAGGTTCTCTGATTCATCCTTATAGAGTTTTTGAATACTATATTTTTCTAGGAAAATGTTCATATGGTCAAGGTTGTCCAGTTTGTTGGAATAGAATTGTTCACAGTGGTTTTTTTTGTTGTTGTTGTTGTTTGTTTTTTGTTGTTTTTTTTTACAGTCAGTTGTATTTCTATGGGATTGGTTGTTACTTCATAGGTTTCATTTCTGATTTTGTTTATTTAGGTTCTCTCTCTTTGTTTCTTGGTGAGCCAAGCTAGAGGTTCATCATTCTTGTTTATCCTTTCAAAGGACCAGCTCTTGATTTCATTGATTTTTTTGTACATTTTAATGGTCGCAATATCATTTATTCTCTCTCTGATCTTCTTTATTTCCTTCCTTCAACTTGCTCTGGGCTTTTCTTCTTGCTCTCTTTCCAGTTCTTTAAGTTGTAGGGTTAGATATCTTATTACCAGTTTTTCTTGTGTTGTTTTGTTTGTTTGTTTGTTTGTTTAGTGAGACCTGTAGTGCCTCTATGGACTGCTTTCATTGTGTCTCATAGATTTTGTGTTTTTATTTTCATTTGTTTCTAGGTTGTTTTTTATTTCTTCTTTGATCTCTTTGGTAACCCATTCATTGCTTAATAGCATGCTATTTACCCTCCATGTGTTTGATTGTTTTTATTGTAGTTAATTTCTAACTTTATGCCACTGTGATCTGAGAATGTGCTTGATATGATTTCAACCTTCTTGCATTTGTAGACACTTAGACTATGTCCTAATATCTATTCTAACTTTGAAAATATCCTATGTGCACTTGAGAAGAATGTATATTCCGTCGCTTTGGAGTGCATGTTCTGAAGATGTCAATTAGTTCCATCTAACCTAGTGAGTTGTTGACTTTTTGTCTAGAAGATTTACCCAGTGATGTCAGTGGAGTATTAAAGTCCCATACAATCATTGTGTTGCTATCAATCTCTCCCTTAATATCTTCCAGAAGTTTTTTTTTTTTTTTTTTTTTTTTATGTATGGGTTGCATATATGTTTATCAGAATTATAGCGTCATGATGAATCGATCCCTTTCATATTATGAGTGGCCTTCCTTATTTCTTATTATGGCCTTCACTTTGAGGTCAAGTTTGTCAGATATAAGTATTGCTACCCCAGCTTTTATTTATTTATTTTTTCCACTTCCTTATGCCTGAAAAAATATTTTTCCATTTCTTCACTTTCAATCTGTGTGACTCCTTTGTTCTGAGGTGGGTGTCTTGTAGATAGCATATACATGGGTCATGTTTGCTTATCCATTTGTCTATCCTATGTTTTTTGATTGGAGCATTTAATCCATTTACATTTAAGGTTATTTTTGATAGCTTCTTGTTTGTGTATATTTTTACTCCCTTTCTATTTCTTCTTTTTAAAACAGTCCTCTTAGCATTTCTGGCCCTGCTGGCTTGGTGGTAATAAACTCCCTTAGTCTTTTTTTGTCTGCAAAGCTCCTGATTTCACCTGCATTTTTGAATGATAGCCTTGCTGGACAGAATCTTCTAGGATTCAGTCCTTTGATTTTCATCACTTTGTATACTTCCCTATATAACTTTCTGGCCTAATGCATTTCTGTCGAGAAATCAGTGGATAGTCTTATGGGAGATCCCTGGTAGGTAACTCTGTCTCTCTCTGACAGCCTTTAAGATTCTTACTTTATCACTGGCATTTGCCAATGTAATTATGGTATGTCTTGGTATGTGTCTTTTTTGATTCATCTTGTTTGGAACTTTCTGTGCTTCTTGGATGTGTGTGACTTTTTTCTTTTCAAAGTCATGGAAGTTTTCTGTTATTATTTCTTCAAACGAGTTTTCTATTCCTTGCTCAGCTTCTTCCCCTTCTGGCATATTTATTATATGGATGTTGTTTTGATTCATGTTGTCCCAGAGCTGCCTTAGACTCTTCCTGCTTTTAAATTTTTTCCCCATTTGTTCTGCTTTGGTATTTTTTCTACCTTGTCTTCTAACTAGTCTACTGTTGAAACTTTCCATTGTATTTTTTATTCTGCTATGCCATTCTTTCATCTTAATTCTTACACATCTTGGTGAATTTCTGATCCAGACATCTGAGCATCCTTATAGCAATTACTCTGAATTCCTTCTTTGACAAATTGCTTGCCTCCATTGTATTTCATTCCTTTTCTGGTGATTCCTCCTTTTTTTTTTATTTGGGGGTATTTCTTTGTCTCCCCATTTTTGCTATTTCTTTGTGAATGTTCCTATGTATTAGACCAAACTGCTATGCCACCCAGATTTTTTAATTGATTTATGTAGTAGATATATTGGGGGACCCAGTGGTTCAGTGTCTCAGATCTCCCGGGCTGGGATTTCTAGGGAGGCCTTCTACATGAAATTTTTGGGTTTTACTGATGTACTTGGGTCTTTAATATTATTGTTCCACTCATGCATGGAGTTGTCTCTCAAGGTGTCTGATGATTTGGCTCACTTCCTACCACAGTTAGTTACCTACAAGGGATCACCCATATGACTATCAGCTGATTTCTCAACAGTAACTATGCAGGCCAGACAGGAGTGGCAAGAAATATTCAAAGTGGTGAATAGCAAGAACCTACAACCAAGAGTACTGTATCCAGCAAAGTTATCATTCAGAATTGAAGGGCAGATAAAGAGCCTCACAGACAAGAAAAAGCTAAAGGAGTTTATCACTACCAAACCAGTATTATATGAAATGCTGAAAGGTGTTCTTTAAGAAGAGGAAGAAGAAGAAAAAGGTAAAGATAAAAATTATGAACAGCAAATACATATATTATCAACAAGTGAATTTAAAAATCAAGTGAATAAAAAAATCCGATGAACAGAATAAACTGGTGAATATAATTGAATCAGGGGCATAAAAAGGAAGTGGACTTATAATTCTCACAGGGAAAGGGATGTGGGGGATGCAGGAAGAGACTGGACAAAAATTGTATACCTATGGATGAGAACAGTGTGGGGGGAGGGGGTGTTAAGGGCAGAGGGTGAAGTGGGAACTGGATAGAGGGGAGCTATGGGGGGGGGTGAAAGAACAAATGTAATAATCTGAACAATAAAGATTTATTAAATTTAAAAAATAAAAATAAAAACAACACAAACCAGAGACACAACAAAGAAAGCATTTCCATATAGTGTCAGAATATTGCTTCTGTCAATCTATCGATTGTAGAGGAAGACACCTAGATCTATCTGACTCTAAAATCACTGCTTTTTCCACATCTTCTGCTGCCACTTTCTTTCCACTCCCTAAATATTCAGGATATTCAAAACATTTATGTTTAGAGTTGCTTCGTTCTAACAACAGAGTTTAATCAGGGGTGGAATAGGGTAAGAGTGGAAATGGGAATCCCTCACCAACACCAACTAGTTAGATGCTGTCATCTGATGGTCACTCCTGAGATTGGCATGAACTCATGAACTGTGATTCTCCTTGACCCTGGCATTGAGGCAGGGCTGACTCACTAGAGCAGTGATTTTCAACCTCTTTCATATCATGGCACACATAAACTAATTATTAAATTCTGTAGCACACCAAAAAAAATATATCATTTGTCAATCTGACAAAATAAATAGGTATAATTTTTATTCATTCACATCAGGCAGCTATTGTTGGTTATCATATTTTAATTTGACAATCTAAGAGAAAAGGTTCAGTGCTCCTGACTAAATAGTCAGTGTTGCATGTTTGAAAAATTCTTGCAGCATACAAGTTGAAAATTGCTGTGTTAGAGCAAATAAAATTAATCTCTGACTCTACAGGAAATGAGCAGCCCAAAACAGAAAGGACAGTTTTTTGAGAGTCATACAGGCCCATTTCTACATATGCAGTCCATGCGCTGATTGTAGCTGAAGTCCTGGTTTGATGTATATGTACTACTGTCCTTTGTTTGCAAAGATGCTGCTTCATGATGGCAGGTCACATTGTCTGGATGACTGAAATGGCTGATGAGGGATCTGCATACCAGTTTCAAACATAACTTCATTCTCTAAAATGCTATCTCCTATAGTCACAGCCACCTTTTGCTTGTATACAAAAAGCTAGAAAGCTCTAGGTCACATTTGAGTGCCTATAGCTAGAAATATGAGATATGGACTTAGGAAGAGAGAGAAGGGAACAGAAAAATTTTTCTAAGTGAGAAACCAAGATGGTGGCATAGAGTAGACACCTGAATGCAGCCTACCACAACAAATTTGAATTTAGAACTGAAAAACAGGGGAAACATCGCCCTGAAGCGCCGGACAGCTGGCTGAGAGGAGGCTCTACCATCTGGGAAGGAGAAAGTAGGCACTCTCAGGAACTGTGAAGGTGCGGTGAACTGCGCAAGCAAAAAGGAGGCCACCAGAGATGATTGGTGCGGCAGCTAAGGGAGGGGAAGCCATTTTCCGTTCGTAGGAAGAGTGCGGGTCAGGGGAGGGAGTAAAGGGGCTCAGCGCCTCCCTGCCTGGCGTGGACGACGGGCAGCTTCAGCGGGCAGGTGAGGTCGCTGAGGGCCCAAAGGAGATGTTTTCCCTTTCGAGCACGGTGCAGCCCCAGGTTACAGTTCCTTTGAGTCATCTCATCAATGCCTTCCATTCTCCAAAAAGCACATCATCTGTCAGTGCATCAGTTTCTCAAAACCAGCATCGAGATGTGAATCCTGAACATGAGGCTCCCAGCAATGAGCCTATGCTTAACTTAGGGGACCTTGGATTATCTGAATTAAAAATTGGACAGATTGATCAATTGGTAGACAGTCTTCTTCCTGGAATTTGTAAAGGCAAAAACATTTCTTCCCATTGGCATACATCTCATGTCTCTGCACAGTCCTTCTTTGAAAATAAATATGGTTACATAGATGTATTTAGTACTTTACGTTCCTCTTGCCTGAACAGACAACATTCAAGAACTCTGAAGAACATTTGTTCAGATCTTCAGTACTGGCCAGTTTTCATACAGTCTCGGAGTTTTAAAACGTTAAAATCAAGAACACGACGTCTACAGTCCACCTCTGAAAGATTAGCAGAAACACAGTATATAGCACCATCATTTGTGAAGGGATTTCTTTTGTGGGACAGGGGATCAGATGTTGAGACTTTGGACAAACTCATGAAAACCAAAAACATACCTGCAGCTCACCAAGATGCATTTAAAACTGGTTTTGCAGAGGGTTTTCTAAAAGCTCAAGCACTAACACAAAAAACCAATGATTCTCTAAGACGAACTCGTCTGATTCTATTTGTTTTGCTGCTATTTGGCATTTATGGACTTTTAAAAAACCCATTTTTATCTGTCCGCTTCCGGACGACAACAGGGCTTGATTCTGCAGTAGATCCTGTCCAGATGAAAAATGTCACCTTTGAGCATGTTAAAGGAGTGGAAGAAGCTAAACAAGAGTTACAGGAAGTTGTGGAATTCTTGAAAAATCCACAAAAATTTACAGTGCTTGGAGGCAAACTTCCAAAAGGAATTCTTTTAGTTGGACCACCAGGAACAGGAAAAACACTTCTTGCCCAGGCTGTAGCTGGAGAAGCTGATGTTCCTTTTTATTATGCTTCTGGATCAGAATTTGATGAGATGTTCGTGGGTGTGGGAGCCAGCCGCATAAGAAATCTTTTTAGGGAAGCAAAAGCAAATGCTCCTTGTGTTATATTCATTGATGAATTAGATTCTGTTGGTGGGAAACGAATTGAATCTCCAATGCATCCATATTCAAGGCAGACTATAAATCAACTTCTTGCTAAAATGGATGGTTTTAAACCCAATGAAGGAGTTATCATCATAGGAGCCACAAACTTCCCAGAAGCATTAGATAATGCTTTAATTCGTCCTGGTCGTTTTGACATGCAGGTTACAGTTCCAAGGCCAGATGTAAGAGGTCGAACAGAAATTTTGAAATGGTATCTCAATAAAATAAAATTTGATCAGTCTGTTGATTCAGAAATCATAGCTCGAGGTACAGTTGGCTTCTCTGGAGCAGAGTTGGAGAATCTTGTGAACCAAGCTGCTTTAAAGGCAGCTGTTGATGGAAAAGAAATGGTTACCATGAAAGAACTTGAGTTTTCCAAAGATAAAATTTTAATGGGGCCTGAACGTAGAAGTGTGGAAATAGATAACAAAAACAAAACCATCACTGCATATCATGAATCTGGCCATGCTATTATTGCATATTACACTAAAGATGCAATGCCTATCAACAAAGCTACGATCATGCCTCGAGGGCCAACACTTGGGTATGTGTCCCTGTTGCCTGAGAATGACAGGTGGAATGAAACCAGGGCTCAGCTGCTTGCACAAATGGATGTTAGTATGGGAGGAAGAGTGGCAGAGGAGCTTATATTTGGGACTGACCATATTACAACAGGTGCTTCCAGTGATTTCGATAATGCAACTAAAATAGCAAAGTGGATGGTTACCAAATTTGGAATGAGTGAAAAGCTTGGAGTTATGACCTACAGTGATACAGGGAAACTAAGTCCAGAAACACAATCAGCTATTGAACAAGAAATCAGAATCCTTCTGAAGGACTCCTATGAACGAGCAAAACATATCTTGAAGACTCATGCAAAAGAGCACAAGAATTTAGCAGAAGCTTTATTGACCTATGAGACTTTGGATGCCAAAGAGATTCAAATTGTTCTTGAGGGGAAGAAATTGGAATTGAGGTGATCTCTCTTGAAATGAGTCCGTTGCTGGTTTTACTGCAAGAATATAAGTAGCATTGCAGTACTCTCCTTTTGCAACACTTCTCTCCCATTCTTGACCTGGTATCATTCAAGGGTGTGAAACACTGTCAACCTTTTGTCACATTTATCTACTTTTGGTTATTCTCATGATGACACCTATTGCAAATTAGCAATCTATAGCAACTATGTTAAAGAAAATAAAGAACTATCAGGATTGAAACAGTTTGTTTGAGAAATGTCCATCAGTTATTTAGTTGCACATAAATAATGATTTTATGGTGGGTTATTCTACTAGATGTGAATAAAATTGTGCCTTGAGCTCCTTGGAAGTCTTCTTACTTAGAAAAAATGATATTGTTGAAGAATTATCCTCATTTCTAGGTAGTACCATTGATCTTTAATAAAGAAATGAAGCTTTTTGGCTGCTGGTAAACCATATTTCTACATACATCTGTGGAAACTCCATTAAGATACACTTAATTATGCTCCAGATTGTCCACATATAAAATTGTATTTTTTAAAAAATCTTAAAAAGAGTGAATTGTAAATGTAAAGGTACAATCAGAATTTAATTGATTATAAACTTTTAAAAATGTTTTGCATTTTTGTGGGGCCCCCCCCCCCCTCTTTTTTTTTAACATTATCATGGTCACTAATGAAATTTATTTCAGGACTGCAGTCTTGTTAACTAAAAAATGACACTTCCAATTTTGAATAAGTATATAATGATGCTTGATATTGAAAGTAAAATTCGATAAAAAGCTCAGTCCCCTTCAAAATGAACTTTTGAATTACACTGTATCAGAAATGGAAAATTGTGTTTGTTTTTTGTTCAGATTTTGTGAATATGAACATGCTGTTACAGGATTTACAAATTTATTTAACTCAATAGAAAAATTATTTTAGAATATTTATTGCTTTTTATATTTAACCAAATTATATTCTTGAAGTGATTTTATTAAAATTACCTGCAGTTTTCTAATAAAAAATAAATAAATAAATAAATAAAAAAGGCGGCCACCAGACTTCGCTGCTGGCTTGCTTGCGAAGCACAGAGAGGGTGGGCCAAGTTCACTACTGGCTTACTCCCTGTGCGCAGAGAGGGCGGAAAGCTAATGCAAGGCTAGCTTTCTTGTTCAGGAGGAAAACAGAACCACCCTATTGCTCTGATAGATGGCCCCAGACAGGGAGAGGCCAGACTGTCAGGCAGTGGGCAGAGATCTCTCGGAGGTGTGTGAAGCCAGGGGCCATTACTGCGGGACTCAGAAACCAGACCCTTGTAGGGAGGGGCTGACCAAAGCTTGTCTGCATCACCTTGAGACTCCGCCCCATCCAAGCAGAGCACAGAAGCCCTTCCAGTGGCTAGCTTTCTCGTTTGCCTCGAATAGAATTCTTCTAGGGAGGGACAGACAGGAATCCAAAGCTTGTCTGTGCCTATACCAAAGAGGTGCACGTGCCTGCAACCAATCTTGCAAGATTCAACAAACTTGTCTGTGCCACCCCGAGACTCCGCCCCATCCAAGCGGAATACAGAAACCCTCCTGGCTGAGACACTTCTGATCCTCATAGCCAATTGGCTTGGAGATCAGCACTTCCCAGTGATACCAACAACAAGCAAGGCTTAATAACAAGACTGCACACAAAGCCCACAAAGGGCTACACCAAGACTGTCCACCTCAGGTAACTGGGAGGCTGACCCACTGAACCATATAGGACACTTTAAGACACAAAGCCACCTTACTAACTCAAGGAAGCTGTGAAAATGCCAAGACAAGAAAACAGATCACAAACAAAAGAAATGGAGGACAAGAAGCGACTGGATATAGAGTTCAAAACTACGCTTATAATGTTTTTCAAGAATTTCCTAGAAAAGGCCGATAAAATAAATGGATATGATATGATAAGGGATCAACTAGAGGATATGATAAGGGATCAATTAGAAATAAAGAATACAGTCTCTGAAATAAAAAATATTATACAGAGTTTTAAAAACAGAATGGAAGACTGCAAGAATCAAGTCAAATATTTGGAACACAAAAAGCCAGAGAACACTCCTCCACAGAAGCTACAAGACAAGAGAATCCAGAAAGTTGAAGATAGTGTAAGAAAACTATGGGACAACTTCAAGCAAACCAATATCAGAAATATGGGCATCCCAGAAGAAGAGAGAGAGCAAGATACCAAAAGAATACTGGAAGAAATAGTGACAGAAAACTTCTCCCACCTGGGGAAAGAAATACACTTACAAGTCCAGGAAGCGCACAGAACCCCAAACAAAAGGAATCCAAAGAGGACCACACAGAGACACATCATAATTAAAATTCCAAAAGCAAAAGACAAAGAGAGAATATTAAAAGCATCAAGAGAAAAGCAAGTAGTTACCTATTTAAGGAGCACCCATACAATTGTCAGCTGATTTCTCAACAGAAACCATGCAGGCCAGACGGGAATGGCAAGAAATATTCAAGATGATGAATAGCAAGAACCTACCGCCAAAAATACTCTACCCAGCAAAGCTATCACTCAGAATCGAAGGCCAGATAAAGAGCTTCACAAATTAAAAAAATCTAAAGGAATTCATCACCGCCAAACCAGAATTATATGAATTGCTAAAGGGAGTTATTTAGGAAGAGGAAGAAAATAAAGATAAAAATTATGAACAACAAATACGTAACTATCAACAAGTGAATCTAAAAACCAAGGGAATTAAAAAACCTGATGAACAATATTAACTGTTGGATATAATAGAATCAGAGGTATGGAAAGGGAGTGGACTGACGATTCTCGGGGAAAAGAGGAGAGGGGGATGCAGGAAGCAACTGAACATAAACTGTGCACCTATGGATGAGGACAATGGGGGATGGGGAAAGGGCAGAGGGTGGGGTGGGAACCTAGTGGATGGAAAAAAATGAGGAACTTTTGTAATAATATGAACAATAATTTTTTTAAAAAAAGAAAAAATAATAATAAGGAAGAGAATAGAATTGCTACCATCATCTCTCAAGAGTTTTCAGTCTACACTGTAGAACTCACACTTCCCAGGGGCAGTGTGTCAGAAAATTAAACCCATAAAGTAAATATAATGCTTGTTCCTGGAGTTTAATTTTATCTCAATGATAGCTATTAAAATTGAATTAAACAAGTATAGGTTATAACAAAATGGAAAACAAATTTCTTATGAACTTTTAAAACTTTATGTGTTAAGAAATGTGAAGATTTGAGAACTGAAAACTATTTGGTGTTTGTGGCAAAAGGTTTCTGACAATATTTTTAGTTCTTTGGATAAAAAATTAAAGAACATTCATAGCCTTTAAAAACTGTCATATCTTCCCCCATATTATATCAAATTATGTGAGTATTACCATATCCAATAATAAAAGTGACTTTTCATAAAAATTTGAAACTGATTTTTATAATATGATTTCTTAGTAAACATCACACTTAATGAGAAATCCTTATAACAGAAGAAAAAATTAGACCTTCAATTTATTCCTAAGTGTGATGTGATTCATATAAATCCTAAATTTAAAAAAAAAAAAGAATGGTACATTTTCACAGACATTAAATTAATTAGTAATCTTTATTTTGTACTTTTCTACCACAATAAAAATTATTTCCATGTCAAATATTTTATACCCTTAAAGATGCCACAAATTCTAGCACTAAGCCTGTAGTATTACTAAACAGCCCTTAGAGTATGTCTGTGAATCTAGAAATACCAGGAAATCCAGGGTTCTGATGGTTTCATGGGAGAGAGGGAGAAAAGTGAACACTCTTTCTCATCATCATTTGGCATTGATACGCCTTATCTGATTCATAATAATGATACACAAATTTGGCACACTGATCAAGAATACCAAATTATACACTAAGAAAAGTGTTGTTCATCCCACAATAATGAAATACAAACAGCTGGGAAAATTTTACATTAAGAACATCAATTATAATTTGTAATAGAATCAAGTGAAAACATGTTCTTGGAACTTGAGCAAAAATGTGGTTCGTGACTGAAGATAGAAGAGCCAGCCCTAAAAGAAAAACATGGCCACTGCTTCAACACAGCTGCTGGCCTGCCAGGCTCCCCATTTGCCAAGCTCTTAACATTTACTCTGTGCTTTTTAGTCTTCTAGGTGTGTTTTCTTTTTCTAGTTTTGTGGAAGACCTTATCAAAGGTTTATTGATTTGGATTCACTTAGGTCTCTTATCTTCAATAGACAAATATTGCCTTCTAATGTCAAAGGCAATTATAGAATCTCAGTCTCCCAAGATGAAACAGGACCTTAGGGTCACCAAGTCAACACCTCTCTGCCTGGGGCCAGAAACCCAGAGTTCAACATCAGGAAGTAGAGCCAGAGCTGTAGTAGCCAAAAGAGCCATTAGGTGGCAGTGGTGGATAGACATGTTGCCAACATCTTCCATGAGGTAGTGGAGACCATTGGTTCTTGTAGGATGTGCCAGTGCTAACAGGTTGTGGGGACATCTTTGTTCAAAGAAGGTAGTGTCAGCTGCTGGGCCTGTCTAGAGTCTGTCCAAACACTCTGTGCTCAGTTATTGAGACCAAGGTCACTCCATTAGATATAAGTTTCAAAGCAAGAGTCACAAAGCTCGGGATCTGCTCCCAAGGATATCACAAAGTAAAGATATACCTATAATTTCCACGGGTGCCATTTTTAAGAAGTTATCCAATCACCTGTCTCCTTGTCAGTGTTTCCTACTGGTGCACACTCTACAGGAGGGCAGAGCCCATGTTCACTTTGAATCACAGTGCCTGCCTCACAGAAGACCCTCAATATTTTTTTTTTTTTTTTTTTAGTGATTGACTTCATTTTCCTCTCCAGGCTTAAGTTTGTTCATCTATGGAATGAGAGAGTGCCCAACTCTAAAATATGAAATTCCATGGTTCTCTTTAAGCATAACAGAATATTTTCCTTTTTTACTAGCAAAAGTCTAGTGGAATTACAGAGACAAGTTTGTATAAGTTTAGTTGATAGTAGAAGGCTCTTTGAGAAAGAAAGAGATGGTAAGAAGACCTGAGACTCAATCTCACTGAGATGAATCATTTCTTAAGGTTCTCAAGCCCATAGACCACCTCTAATTAAGGCCCTGGACTGATGCCACACAGTGGCTTCACCTCCTACAAAGCCACTTGCTGGTGGAGGTTGAAGCCTCCCATCCCAGTCTGGAGAGGTAAAGAAAAACCTTTGTTCCTAGCTTGCAGAATTTGCACATTAATTCTATAAGAACTTAGCTAAATTTTGCTTAGGCTTACTGTAATCTTGAATCCCTAAGACATCCAGAAACCAAAGCCCAATACACACCATGGCCACCAGTTTCTAATATCTACTCCCCCACTCACAACTGGCTCACTCATATATTCAATCCTAAATTTTCCCCAAAGAGGTAAAATCAATTTGGGAGAAAACAAGTATAAGACAGATTATTTGTGCTACTGAAGTGAATCTGCCTAGGCCAGGTGTCGGCAACCTACAGCTCCAGAGCCGCACACGGCTCTTTTGAAGCTTTACCGCGGCTCCGACAACTTGCAAGCCTGTGTGAAAATGAAGGTAATGTCTTACAGCCCTGATGTGCTGACACT